AGGATGTCACAATTAAGACCGTGATGGAATACATGGTCAATTTTCGGGAGCATATTGATTCCCTTGTGAGTGGAATGCGAGCCGATATTTCATCATTGCGCGATGAAGTATCCATGTTGCACGACGAATTACGTCAACAACATCAAACGAGTTAGGTAATTCATTATTTATGTTTCTAAACATTTACACGTTTTGAAATGTATTTTATTTTCTTTTAACAGATATGGACAACCAAGCGGTCAATGAAGATGAAGATGACGATGAAGAAGACGATGAAGATGATGATGATAATGATGATGATGATGATGATGATCCAAACAAGTATATTGTGTCTGCAATGCCGCCTTCAAGAAAACTTTTAATTTTTGATCTCAATGGTGTCCTTGCCTACATCCCAAGATTGCCTGCAGGTTTTAATTATGTTCTTTTGTATCCATTATTTTAACATTTAAGCGTAGAACTTTAATCTCATTTTCTTCATGTTGTAGATGTTGTCCTCAGAATAGGATTATTTGAATTTATGCAATTTTATGTAGACAATTTTATTGTTGCCATTTGGTCTTCCAATATGAGGTTAGAACTGTTGAGCAATTGAATTACTGTAGCCAAAATCGTTAATATACAATTGAATGTTAACATTTAAACTTGATTACAATCTCAGGCATAACGTCGACCGTGTACTTGAGAAACTACCTTTACTTTCTGAGCATTTTCTATTCGTTTGGGTAAGATGAATGTCATTAAAGTTTGCTGACTTTTCTTTGTCTATGATTCCTACACATTTATGTTCGACTGTTTGTGAACAGGATAAAGCAAAATGCAAAACATACGATAATGTTATCTACTGTAAAGATCTCAAAGATGTTTGGAACGCGTGTCTTGATTTTAACAAGCTAAATACACTTTTGGTCGATGATTCAGCGGAAAAACTGATTTATAATATGGTAAGTTGCATTTATGCAATATGTTTTTCCATTTAAACAGGTGTTCATACATTGATTATTTTAACAATTTATGTGTTTATATAGAAATACAATTACATATGTCCACATACCTTTGACGCTGCTTCCCATTCGAACGACAATGCTCTAGGTATGACACAAATTTATTCATGCTTATACGAATTTAGTTTATTGTTAGTAAAATTGTACCTCATTAGTTTGATAATTGAAATTATTTATGTATGTCCTCAGAAAAAGGCGGAAACATACGAGAGTATTTGGAAAATTTGTTGAAGGCGCCTAATGTTCCGGACTTCGTTAGAAATAACCCTTTTTCATCGGATTAATTTCATTTTCGGTACATTATTTGAACATTGTTGTGTATGTATCTTTTAGTTTGATTATATTGTGTGTATATTTTCATTAATTATTCTATATTTGCTTCTCTGTATACAGATACATTTGAGGATTATTGAAATATCAATACTAGTTATTAATGTATTTTACATCTGTGTGCAAATGTATTTTACATTTATGTGATGATGCGGATGAAATATTAAACGGTCTCGTAATCCACAATAAAAATAGACTAAGAGAGTAAATTTTGTAAATTTGGGGTTAATTTTGTATAATTTACATTATAATCAAACTGAGCTTGACTTGAGGACATGTTAGTTTGTTATGTCCCTCATCGTTGCAGTACCCACATCGCCTAATTATCTTCTCAACCTTGTTCTTCGGTACTTCTTTTCGCTTGCGATGTTTTCGTTGAGGGTCATGAACGTTGTTTACTACAATGCTCTGGTTGACTGAATCATTCAAACCAAACGAGTTTTCTAATTCTTCTATTAGTCTTTTCATATAATCTCTTTCGGTTTTGAAAGACTCGTCTGTCTTTGATGCAATGTAGCATAACCTACTTGACGTTGAACGTAGAGCAGCGAACTGTGCCATTTGCATCACTTCTGAAGACATATTCAAGTCAACATAACTGGGTGCAGAAGTCTTCGCATCATTAGTCCACCTACTTTGAATCAAAGTCTCGGGCAAATATGTGTAATCCAAGTGCTTCAAAATGTGAAGTTGATGGCGACACAGAAGTCCAACGGTCTCGAATTTTTTACAGGAGTAAATTAGGGTTTTCGTACAAGAATCAAAACTAATTTCAAATTTCCTATTTTTTTCTTTGTACTTTGAAAAAAATATAATGTTAACATTCATCTGATAAGGACTGAATCTCTGCCTCAATCCGGTACAATGTCTCCCGTAGAAGTTCATCCTGGAACGCACGAAAAGATTCGCGGGTAAAAATCGCAGCATCATGGCTTTCAAGGTCGAACAGTTTTGTGATCTGGAAGGGCTTCGTATGGGAACTTAAGTAATCCGCTTTCAACTCGTTCATACGCATTCTACTAATTCCATCTTCAATTGCATGAACAACATCTAAATATGTCTTCTTGTGTTTCAGTTTAATCGCTAGTGAAGCATTCATAGACTCGCACCTTTGTGTTGAGCGAATATTGGCAAAGATATGACCGGTTAGATATGCTTGTGCCTATAAGTGTCGTGTATTTCCATTCTCAATCACCCGTGGATGTTTTTCGAATTTGAATTCTGAAATAACCGAATGCCATTGAATATCAAATTCCTCGATTGTCCACTAGGAAGCCATGCATTTTGAGAATGCTGTTGTAAATTTTGGGTCGCCAATATTAGCTTGTGCATTGTAAGAAAGATGCCAAGAACATAATATGTACTTAGCATAAGGGATAATAGATTTGATAGCCCTCTGCATTGCCCTATCCCTATCGGTGACAACTGAAATAGGTGATTTATTCATCATGGCTTCTAAAAAATTCTGTAGAACCCACTCGAAAGATTGAGACGTCTCATCAGTGATTATGGTAGTGGCAAACACAATTGTGTTATGGTGATGATTGACACCGACAATAGGCATAATTGGTCGACCATACAAATTATCTTTGTACGTTGTGTCGAACGCAATTACATCACCGAAACATGTGTAATCTGACCAAATAAGACTATACAATGCCCCTGATTCGTCTACCGAGTATGTTATAAAAAACCCGGGATCATCATGTTTCTTATAATCAAAGTAGGCAATAAGCGCATTCACATCCCCATCGACGATTTCCTTTGCTTTACCTCTTTGAAGTACATTATAGAGGTCTTTATGTGTAAATCCAACATTACATAGCCCCTTGCATGCTGCGTTAAATAGTTCATTACTTGTGACGTGCCAACACTGACCTCTTTCAATGTTGTTGCCTCATCGATATCAGCCTTACTTACAGCTCTATTAGAACGCATAAATGGTGTCATAGCAGGTGTGCACAATGCATGATTATGTTCCTGGTAAGACTTACTTATAACCCACTGATCGTTTGTATTTGTTGTTGTAACTACGACTCTAGCCTTACATCATGTTCTTGTGACTGGCGTATGAGCACATTGACGATTAACAATATTGACTTTTGATGCTCGAAACCCTTCTTTGGAACAACAAAATTCTTGTGTCTTCACATTCCCTTTCACGCCAAGCCGTGTTGTTACCTTACGTGCACTAAACCCATGTTCCCGTGTGAATCCCTTGTAAAAGAACCAAGCTTGATCACGTGAACAGAAGAACTGACCAACCAATCTGTCAGATTCATCAACATTATGTAATTCATGGCATTCCTCGGTTGGCTTAACATTGTCTGCATCAGTATAATCTATGGCAAAAATTTTGTCGTGCAAGTTCAGTGGTCCCGGAGTTGATGGAGATGTAAGCAAATGTTCATTGAACATGTTTCAGTCGTGCTGCTTTCAATAGGATGTGGTATTGGTAGTGGTAGTTAAAGGGTGAGTACAACATTAAATTCGCAGTACATATTTAGGTTTATACAATAACTACCTAAATATGTGTCGATACATTTTATACAAGTATCGACCCTAAAAACATCAAAACTAATAATTATAATGTAATAGGTAAATTAATAATGTAACCGATATAAATATACCGGTTTATTAGAAAATAGGTCAACATAATGTATTAACACTTGTGTAATTTGTGTCAATACTTATTGTCTAGGATGAACGCACAAACGAGGTGTACGCATAAAGTGTCGATACATTTATTAAAAGTATCGATCACAAAAACATCGAAACTGATAATTATAATGTATTAGGTAAATTTACAATGTAACCGATATAAATATACCGATTTTATGATAAAATAAGTCAGCATCAAGGATCGACACTTGCTAAATTTCTGTCGATACTTTTGGTCCAAAATGAATACCAAAAAGGGTGCAACCATAAAGTGTCGATACATTTATAAAAAATATCGATCCCGGAAACATCAAAACCCATAAGTATAATGTAATAGGTAAATGCTCAATGTAACCGGTATAAATATACTGGTTTTATGAGATAATAGGTCTAAATAATGTATCGACACGTTGTTAGTTTGTGTTGATACTTTTTTCCTAAATGAAATATGAATGCCCAACCAGGTGCAAGCATAAAGTATCGATACATTTAAAATTGTATCGATCTAAAAAACATCGTAACCGATAATAATATTGTAATAGGTAAATTTACAATATTACCAGTATAAATATACCGGTTTACTTCGAAAATAGGTCAATATAAGCGCTACCTATTACATTATATAAGAGTTACCTAATATGTTATTGTATTTAATAATATTTCCGGTTAAATGCCTATTTTATTATATAAACACTACCTATTACATTATATAAGCGCTAGCTAATATGTTATTGTACTTGATAATATTTCCGATCAAAATTTTAACCGGTCACTTGTTTAACGGGTCACGCCGTGTTTTAACCGTTTTTTAACCGCCGCACATCAAAACTACCCACGTAACCGTGTTTGCTATATTTATGGTTTCATATGTTCCCCAATTCCATCTGGGACAGAGACATATTTCAAATGTCTTTTCCCCTAATGCCTGATGATTGTCTGATTGACATAATACTAATCATTTGGAACAAAAGATGAGAATCTAAAATCAAAGTGCCCATAAAAAAGCTACGGAAAAAGAACACTCACGGCAATCAGATCCCCAAATTGGCTAGTGAGCTTTGTTCCTATACAGCTCTTCACAAGCCCCAACACTGTTGAACCTGCCTTTCAAATATAAAAGCAACAATACGATGATCTAAAGATATTAAAGATGCAAATACATGGGATAAAAAATTAAAATTTTGTTTTCTGGTTATAAAAATGTTCCTAGGAGAAGCATACGGTCTTTCACATCAATAGTCGTTGCAATCTTGTCAAGCGCAGCAATAGCATCCTCCAAAGCCTTATTGTATGCTGCAAATGAAATGGTTCTTCATCAAATGCTAATTTATGATTCAAAAGCCAAGGTTAAGAATCAAGCATCACGTCTAAGTCACATTACCTCGACAAATGACTGTGGGATGATAATTTTTGTCAATAAAGGCTTCTGCAACATGAAGCATCTCACCAGCTGCACCAAAGACAAAGAGTATGCCAAATATAAGTACTAAAGAAAATTGAATCCCAACATGCAGATTAAACATCCAACAGGAGTAAAAGAAAGAAAGAAAGAGGGATAACCAAATGAACTCAGCAATTAAAAATCCATGGAGCTTCTAAAAAAATTACCAGTTCTCAAAAAACATCTTATATATGAGAATATAATTGAAAAATAAACTAGTGTACGCAAAAGTATCAAACATGGCACAGAAACAGCATTGGGCTGCACAGAGATATACCAAGAACAATGATAGATGATGTTCCATCTCCAACTTCTTCATCTTGCTTACGGCTCAATTCAATCATTGACTGCCATGAGTAACAAAAAGATAAGAAAGCACAAAACAAGACAAAATAAGACATTCGCATGCTAAAAGCAAATCAAATAAAGAATCATGGTGGAATACATGCCTTTGCCGCTGGATGTGCAAGATCTAACTCACGTAGGATGGCATTTCCACCATTAGTAACAACAATACCTGGAAGAAACCAAAACCATACGACAACCTTTATGCTTGTTCGACAAGAGTGCATTTAAAGGCTAATAAAATGTTTTTGTGAATTCTGAAAACAGCTGCACTAGAAATGAAAAGGCTAAAAATGAGTAAAAAATGAATACCTCCAGCAGCATCAAGGAGGATTTTCAACATGGATCGAGGACCCAATGTTCTAATAATGTCAGCAACAGCCTGTAAAGTTAGTTATTTTGGTCAGTGAGCATGGAACAAACTACAACAAATGGAAATCACATAGAAGACCCAAAGCATGTTAAAGCCTGCTTTCTTAGATAGATATAAAGTACTCGGAATCAAAAACTGGGTTTACATTGCTTTTAAATTTTAAGCAGCTAATTCAGCAATTTCATTTTTAGATATAAACAAAGCAAATAGAAACAGTATAAGTTTTTCAACAAAAAAATTGATTACCTTGGAGGCTTGGATATTAGCAAGGTGAACCTTAGTCCCAGACTCCCGTTTCAACGAATCCTCTGCGTGTTTCAATTATATGTTTATGAATAAATTTAAAAGTCTTATTAAACATTAAAGTCTCATTGCTTGTGTTTTGCACGAAATAAGAGATTTGAAAAATGAGCAGCCTGCAATTTATGTGTTTCCTTTGTTTTCGTTTCTTGTCGAGAGGCCCAATTTCTTTCCTCTTTGCTTTGTGTTGATGTTCTTGTTATTTGGGTACTTGGACAACCCATGAAACTTATAATAAAACATGGATCCTTGATGAATTCTTTACATGTTCGTTTTATAGTTTATGTTTGAAATTATCTCCTTCGTTACTGTTATCACTAAAGTTTAAATTTTTATTCTTTTTAAAATACAACATAAATTACTACACTCAACACTTGTTAATGATCCAAGATAAATTTATGAGATTACTTCCAATTTGAATGGATGAAATTATCTAAATTAAAGTTTTAATAATAAAAGTTATATTTTTTTAAATAAAAATGGTCCATCAATCATTTAAGTAAGTAATAATAAAATAATTTAAGATATCATTCTTATTATGTACGAGGGATAACTCATATTTTGATTATTTATGTCTATTTACATAGATTGTAATATACCTAACCGATTTTATCGTTCAATCATTTACAAAAGATATTTGATTGTGTCAAAACATATGACTCTCAATATTAGAACTTGATGATCTCAATATAAAAGATTATATTAATCTAAGATATATTAATTACATCTTAACAGGGAGATGAAAGGAACGATTTGTGATCAAGTAAGCACTGTTTTACAAGAGTAGTGGAAATATTGTTTCTTTCACATATATATATAATTGTCTCCTGAACTTGATTTTGTTTTTCGTAAATTAAATAATATTCTTATTTAATTGGAAATTTATTTTGTTGAAATATGAATATTTTTATACGGTGTTTCAATCACACCTATAAAGATTGATGGTGACTTGATATTTAACTATTTCAAAACAGTTATGATAATATGGATAGAGTATTATAGATGTTTATTATGATGAAATGCTAAGATTCAAACATTTGATCTTGTTTAAAGTCCTACAATCTAATCTCATTAGATCAAGTAAAATGAAAAATGAAAAACTTTACTAAAAAAAGACATTTTAAGTTATATATATATAAAAAATACATATTTTAAGTGAATTTTACTCTTATCAAGAGGTGAAATAAGTACGAGATTATTGGTCAATTCAATCTCCGTTGTAGCCATGACTGATCACTTAACCAAATTAAGGATATTATTCCAGTAATTCATGATCTCCTCGAAACTGCTATCATCACCACCGTAGTGTGTTTCATTCAAGTTCTCACTAGGCGCCACCACCGTTGACGAATTCTGCTGATAATCATTGCCAGAATCCCAAACCATTATACCCTAATAATCATTAACTTCCATATTCATGTTAAGTTCTTCCTTGTATGGATCTTGAAACCACCATGGGGTTGCATGACATGGCTGCATAGTTCCATCAAGGTCCATACAAAGACGAACTTAACATGAATATGGAAGTTAATGATTATTCGGGTATAATGGTTTGTGATTCTAGAGATGATTATCAGCAGAATTTATCAATGGTGGCGCCTAGTGAGAACTTGAATGAAACAAACTACGGGAGTAGTGATAGCAGCTTCGAGGAGATCATGAATTACTAGAATAGTATCCTTAATTTGGTAAGTTAAGTGATCAACCATGGCTACAATAGAGATTGAATTGACCAATAATCACGTGGTTAAGTTCATCTCTTGAACAAACTTAGCTCCGACTTCTAACTGAGTCCTCTCCCATTGAGCCATATGGCTGAGGTAAGCTTTATCCTTGGGGTTATACCGCTTGCGGACTCGAGGGCATCGCTTGTTGGTGACCGGATCCATCCCCATCCTGTTCCAGTAGTTAATATTAATATGTTAAATCTAGTTTTATATGAATAAAACTTCGATTATTATAAATTAAATATGTTAAATTAATAAATATCATCAAAGTTTTTTATTCATATAAAATTTTGATCATAGTTAATATTATATTCACTTATTAATACAACATACACTACAACAAAAGTGTTATGTAGCGGCGTTTTTAGGGTAAATGCCACAAAATTTAAGAGTGTAGCGGCGTTTACAATCGAAACACCACAAAATGATACTTTAGCGGCATTTTTTCAACAAACGCCATAATAGAGTGGTAATGTAGTGGCGTTTATAGCTCAAACTCTGGAATAGAACTGTTTATAGTGGCGTTTTTCAACAAACGCCGCAATAGAGTAGTAATTTAGCGGCGTTTTTATACAAACGCCATAATAGGGTTGTTTATAGTGGCATTTTTCCAACAAACGATGCTATAGAGAAGTAATTTAGCGGCGTTTATCAAACAAACGCCGCAATAGAGCAATAATATAAAGGAGTTTGTCCTACAAACGCCACAATATGTTTGTTTATAGTGATGTTTTTATAAAAACGCCGCAAAAACATGTACTATAATGGCATTTGTTTTAAAAACGCCACCAAAGAGTCAATATATGCTCCACCCTTTCCTCCTGCCCAATCCCTAAAATCATTCAACGCTACTTCCCTAAAAGGGATTTCTCTGGTGGCGTTTGTTTTTTTAATGTTTGATTTAGTTCCCAATCCACCTCTAATCAAGTTTCATACTGTAGGTGGAATGTCGTTATTTGTTTCAAGTGAAGCACTGAAGCGCACAAGGAGTCTTCTTGGTGAACCAGAGGTAGGGGATTTATTTGGTGAAATGGATGAAGAGTATCTCCATATAGAGTTTACACGGAGGATAAACTTAACGATGCGTCGTCAAACAAAGAAAACAATTTTCCTACGTCCTTTCCCAACGAAGGAGCACAACTAAATTCTAGTGAACAATATGCTGAAGAATGTTTTTTCATAACTTTAATGTTTGTATATTTTAATGTATTTTGTTGTTAAGTACTTTTATGTATAACTTATGTTTTAATTAAAATGTATGGTTGTTGTTAATTAGATAAAACTACATGATAGTAAAGTTAGTTTATGCAGAGCATAACTTAAATATTTAAAATATGTTAATCTTATATAAATAAAGGTATTTAGCGGTATTTGTATCCAAAAACGCCGCTATATACCTGAGCTTTTGCGGCGTTTATACACAAACGCCGCAATAGTGTTAATATTTAGTGGCGTTTGATCATAAAAACGCCACAACAGAAAGTAATTTTGCGGGGTTGCTATATAGTGGCGTTTTTTCAAACAAACGCCGCAACAAAAAGAAATTTTGCGGCGTTTTTTATAAACGATGCAATAGGGTTATTATTTCGTGGCGTTTTAGCAAACAAACGCCGCTGAAGAAAGTAATTTAAAGGCGTTTTTATACAAACACTGCAATTTGTTTATTATATAGTGGCGTTTTATGTTACAACGCCGCAAAAGAAAGTAATTTAGCGGTGTTTTTAAACAAACGCCGTGATAATCATGTAATTTAGTGGCGTTTTCATAATAAACACCGTCATTTTTATGTTCTCTCGTGGCATTTTGATTATAAACGCCGCAAATGTGCAATCCCAAATTTAACACTTTCTTCCCATAATTTTTCAGTCGCCCGTCTCTCTTCATTTTTTCTTCCCCTAAATTTTCAGTCACCGTCGTCGAGTGTTCCGTCGCTCCTTTCCCCGTCGATTCATTAACTTCAGCCTTCCCTTTTCTTATTTCCCTTTCTATCTAATCCCAACATTCCCATGTTCTTATTTCCCATCTCTTCCAGACATACCCAAATACCGAAGAAGTTGCTACTGATCATCGCCGCTCGAAGCCGTCAAGGGCTCCAACATCACGCCATCAACGGTCGACTATGTGCCATCGTTAGGTCTGACTTACGGTAAATTTTAGATGATTCTTCATTTTAATGCAAACTTATCCCCCCACTCGCCCCCAATGATATTTATACATTTAAATGCTAATCAATTTTCTTGTTGCTGTAATGTGGATTCAGTGGATTTATAAGAGGTCCAGACGATAATCCAAAGCCGATTGCATTTTCCTTTCACAACAAGTTTAAACAAGGACCATTGCTTTCTGTGGTAAACCCTGTTTCATGTCCCCCACTTTTTCATTTTTACTCTAATTTGGTCGAAAATTTGTATGGTTTTTATTTGTTTGAAGTAAAACGTAAACAATTGAAAAGCAAATTAGCAACATCACGCCATTGAGATATGTCTCTTTTTTTTGTAGTGCTGGAGTAGTGGATTTTGCTGTACCTACCCTCTGCTATTTCGATCCTAAAAGCCATCCGTGGTCAAGGTATTTTTCCTGTATGCTGTATGCTATGCTTTATTGGCTGCATGAAAAATTTAAGACGTATCTAGTTAAAGGCTGGTTATAGCAAGTGAATCAAGGTTCTTAGTCCCACTCTCATTCACTGGCAACAAGAGTCCAATAGAAGCTGAATATTCCTGAAACTGCACTCACATCATCATTTAGATCAGTTTCAGATCGAGTTTAAAAATTTTCAAGCCTTGTTATATAAATAAAAAAAACAAAAGAATGTTCAAATATAGTGAACTCTTAATGAGATTAACACGATGTGGATAGCTAAACAACAATAAAAATAGTAGTAGTAAGAGTTTTTAATAGTTGATCAAAGGGAAAAAAGTTCAAGCAATTGGCCTAGGGGTGCAATTTGGAGCTCGACCGAACATTAAAATATAAGCTCGACATATAATCAAGGTCGATTATTACCAAATTGAATTCAAGTTTTTTTTAAGTTAAAATCGAATAGCTTGCGAATACTACTGTCTCATTTGCTCCCCTAGCCGTTTCCTTTACACACTTTTTTTTTGGAAAAGTATGCATTTTATTACTAAAAGAGGTACACACATTGACGGCCAGTTTTTGCAATCTCAAATCCTCTATTAACATGAAAGAGCATTTATTAATAATTATTTATTTTTCTGGTAAATTTATCAAGATTTGCACCGGTTTAATGAACCAAAGAACAAATATTAAAAAAAATTATACACACTCTAAGGTTAAAATAAGCGACAATACCTGTTTTACAAGCTCTTCACACTTACTAATCAACTGTTGAACTTTAGCGGCTCCGGATTCTCTTACCATACTACTCTTTAAAGTGATGGAGTCCACCTATTAAGTTCAAGAAATACAAAAGGGGAGTTTAGAGTTTAGAGTAACTTCCGGTAGAAAGTAGGGACATCTTGGTACTGTTCGAAAAGAAGACATAAAGACTACCTCCGTTCCAATATTTAGTATATTCGTCAAACTTGAGATCTCTTTTTTTTTTCTGTAACTGCCTTAGGTGTTCTTCCAACTGTCCAACTGGTGAAAGAACAAGCTAAAGGTTTAAGAATCTACGAAGTGATTTGAAAATGAAGTACAATAACATAACAATACAACAGAGCTTGAATAAGAACCTGCCTTTTCCTTGTCGTTCAATCAGTTAGCCTCAAGTGATTTGTCTAATACAACATCATCACTTAGCTTAGCTTTCATACTCTTACATTTTTTTTCAACTGATTTTGCGGTGTTCACCTACTAAGATAAAAATTATGTTCCAAAAGACAATCCACAGAAAACATAAAAATGGAGGGCAAAGACACTACTACTTAGTTTTAGAGAATAAGCACATACGAGGATCTGGTCCATGATCAGTGTACCTGTTCATATACAGCTTGCATTAAGGTATTTAGCTTAATGAATGTTATCGTCTTTAGCAACACCCGATATCAAGAATTTGTTATCGTATTTTCCTACCATTTGAAGATCATAATGAATGCATGTTGACTAGTTGACCATGTACTTTCATGCTTTTCCAGATATTTAGCTTTCTAAATAGACATTGTATAGTTGGCTCTTCTGATTTAAAATTAACTTCTAGTGTTTCTTTCAGCTATTTGAGATAAGAAAAATAAACGCAAACTTTCTTTCTTCTCATCATGTCAACCAATTATTGTTGAACTCTGAAACGGAAAAATGTAATTTGATTGCTAATAGATATACTAAATTCAGCTTAGCTTTGACATTGAAAGTATGAAAGAATACAAAATCAAGCTTTTTAAGGGAAATTTAAAGTTTGATAGTCCAATTATAGATCTATTTGTTCAATTCTACTGATGTTTAGTAGGTTCAAAATCAAATTGCCCGTCTAACTCAGTTGGTACAAGGCTCTTAACCTTGTGGTCGTGGGATCGAGTCCCACTAAGGGCAATTCATAACGGAGGTCTTCTACGGAAGTTGCTCTTAACCTGGCGTTGGGGGCAGCCTACTATCCTACCTCCCCCTTATCCCATTACATATGGGAATAGGGTCAGCTAAAAAAAATCAAAGCAACTTGATGATATATACTAATTATCGAAATCTAGGAAAACATATATTATGACATGTTCAATATATGATATCCATACAAACTTGTTCAATATTAATTTTGACTACATATTATTTTTCTTGATCACATATACAAGATTAATTAATAATTTTCACAACTCTTAACACCTAAAATAAAAACATATATTATATTCATAGAAACTTATACAATATTAGTTTCAAATTCAACTTATTTTCCTTGATGCTTGTTTAAGGCTTCATTTGCATCACTCTCTAATTTGAATGACTTGAACGTACTTCCTCAATCTTCAACAATTATATGAGCACAATCTTGCCGTGAACTTCTTTTTTCTTGATGCTTGTTTAAGGCTTTCTTCATTTATACTTTCGAACTTCATATTGTATTTTGTTCTATTTTATAAAGATTGGTTGTTTTTTTCCTTAATGTTCCATGTCGTTTATTAATTATATAAATTGTGAAATTAAATGTAATGCTTATATTTAGGTTCTAAATTTATCTATAATATTAGAAATTAACATTTGAAATTAAAACTCCAGAA